TGCATAAAAGAAGTCCAGACTGATTAGAATATCAGCTTGGAGGGTTCAGGGTATCTCCTAGTCGAGCAGTCTCGACTGGAGCCTTCTTACTTGTTAAGTATGTATATGCATATATACATATGTATTTATATAAAAAGAGTGCGCATTTGTATTTTACAATGATTAACGATTGGAAACAGTATAAAGGAGCCAAGACTAGTCAGATGCCACAGTTGTATTTCGTTATTTGGCGAGATGAAACCATTAAGTGCTTTTATTCTCGGCTTGTCCGGGCTCTTCTTGATATTCGAGGGCGCAGATGCGAGGTGTGAGCTGACAATAGAATCACCACAACCGAAAATAATAACTCATTTTGGATCGAAGCATTGGGTTTCAGAGACGACGTCGAACATAATTCGTGACGACTATGAATCAGTTGACTTATATTGTGGCAATGGATTCGTTTATGACACGTATGTTGAAGTATGTATATCTCTCTAAAACAAATTAAGAGCGATTTGAATCTTGATTAAATTTAGCGACGTATACGGAATGCAAACGATGGAAAAGAAACGCATTAAGTTGACATGTAATAGCAATATAAATATATTTACCTTTGATGATAAAAATATACGATATATAAAATGCTTGGGTGATCGGATTTCCCCCATGTATGAGAGCTTAACGTCCATGCCGGACTGCAATAAATACATGAGTCTCGTTATTGGCCAGAGTTTTGGAGAATATGGCTCCATTAAAAACGTTGCTATATGCTACGATATTGTTAAGCAGCAGCTCAAGTATGTTAGCTACACGGCCTATCCATCTAAAATTAAGGTGCTTGCACAGGTAAGACCAGCTCGGAACATATACCTCTGTCAAAAATATCCACAGCATTTGTTCTCAATAGTCACAAGTGGGACAACTCAACGAATTGGGTCTCGACATTGAAGTTGCTTATAGCAAAAATGTGTTCAAGCCGATCAGGTATGTTATGTACATGAAGTCGATAAGTAAATGATATAATAGTGCTTACAGAACAAATGAAAAGCTGAGATCTTAAGATTGGAACCTTAAGCGAATGTTAATTATTCACAAAGCTATAGAAAATACAGATTTTTCACTTTTACAGCTCAGATAGCATTATGAACGCGTTCCGCACCGACAAACAACTAAGTGTGGTGTTCGGCACCGGGACGTTCGAATACAGGACGACGCCTTTAGCCAGGATCTTAATGAGTTTGAAGGAATGATCTCGATTGTTTGGCTGCGCGCTCTTCGCAACGGCAATTGGCGGCATTTTCTGAACGCCCTCAGGGATGCTAGCGTCCATGATAAGTTTGATGTTAATGTCGGTGTCTCCGGTACCGTTGCCGTGCCCACTCTGAATGCCTGCGAGGACAACCGCACACTGTCCATTGAAGTCGACTCGGAAAATACCATCATAGTGCCCGCACACATCTGGGCGCATGTTCGCAACGTGGAGCCAGCTCTGAATGCCTCTGATTTTGTAGTTATTGCCCATAATTCACCGTTTGTGAGTGCTCGCACATCTTATGTAGAAAATGTGAACTGATTTTAATCCATTTCAATTTCGCACAATTCACAGTTCACAATCAATGAGCGGAACGGTCTATGCCAGAGCATGTGCCACGAGGTGCCCTGGCTGAAGAAAAGTCTTTTCAGCAAACTACAGAAATATCCCGTCTATGGACTGGTGCAGTGCTGCAAAGCTACGGATGTTCAAAATAAATTGGATAATTTCCCCAAATTATCTGAAACGAAAAAAGTGGTCCAAGAACTCGATGATCCGATAACAACAACCACTACTGAAAATATAATTAGCAGTGATGCTACGGAATTCGAATAGGCGATGATCTATGACGAATGACATGACATGAATATCCGGCATACATATATACTTTCTTAACAACAAAGTATAATAAAAACAAGTAAGAAGGCTCCAGTCGAGACTGCTCGACTAGGAGATACCCTGAAGCCTCCAAGCTAATATTCTAATAATTCTGGACTTCTTTTATGCATACATACATTCACATGCACTTATAAGCACGAGTTACCAACCCAACAACACACACAAACACATATTCAATAATTCTTTGTACACACATAAGCACACACAAAAACACTCCAAACACACACAAACACATATTCAATAATTCTTTGTACACACATAAGCACACACAAAAACACTCAAACACACACACAATTATAAAATACTCGATGTAT